CTTGGGAGTTACTGGCCAGTGAGGGCCCTGCTTTCCCACCCACAGCTTCCATGAGGAAGTTCCAGAATGGGTGACAGGTTTAAAAAAAATTTTGAATGTTTTTGTTTCTTTAGACAGACATGCTAACTAACTGATAAACCAGCAAAGGCTGACAGCTTGCTAAAAGCAGACCTTACAAGGGAACAGGAAAACCACCCCAGGGGACTTATAGGAAAAAGCAATGAAAAGCCAACCCTGACCACCACAGCTTTTTTCATTGCTAGTGGCTGGTATGCCAAGTAGCTACTCCATTAAAGCAATAGAGAAAACAGACCAAACATCCTTTGATAAGGAAAAAAAAATCCAAACCTACCAATCTGCTGATGAAAGTCCTCCCCTCTACGCTCACTTTAGGAAGTCGCATTCATCACCTCACATCAGCAACACAGCCCACTTCAGCACTGTCAATAAGTGCCACACCTCATTGCTGATAATTACTTACTAACAGCAAATTATCCCCAGAATGCTTACACCTGAGCAGGGGTGGGCTTCAGACTTAGCTTTCCTGCAAACAGGACCCACCTGGGCACCCTTTTCCAGAAAACAGATCAGGCGCGCTCAGCTGCTGGGCAGTCATGAGGTACTGGCCCTGATGTGGTAAACAGGTCAGTGTGTGGCCTGGCCCGGCCCGTGAGGTAGCCTGGCTTTTTCTCTCACAATATGCCTTCTATCAGTATGGTGTGTTGCACAGCCTAAGAAGGTCCCAAGATGCTTTACACTTCACTCAGGATCTGCTCTCTAAGATAGCAGGCTCCTGGGCTGAGGCAGAAACAGAAGGTATAGGGGAACCAGTGCCCCATGTGGGCCATACCCCCGCCTTCCTACGTCCACGGCTACAGGTAGCATGAGGCTACTTTCCGGGGACTAACAACTTTAACTGTTTCAAGATGCTATATGACAGACTGGCGTGCTCTTTCCTGGAGAGCACACTGGACCAATTTAGTTCTTCACTGTTGCAATTATCTCTTGTGTTCCCCATGATGCTTCCTAGTCATGTTTAATGCATGGCAAAAGTTGTTCTCAATTTTTTCTGTGTTACATGGAACTACTTCTTTTTTTGTTAAATTATTGCTTATTCTGCTTGCCGTGTTTCATGCTATCAGAGGAGCAACCTCTGTCTGCATTGAGAGCCAGTACAGAGATGCATGCAGGAGTTGCTGGTGCTAGTAGCTGAAGGCAGCTCATAAATGCTTCCTACCCACAGGACTAGATCTCCCGGGACCGGGTGTTTTAATGCTGTAACTGCTCTTTAAAATGGAAACAGACACACTGTTAATACTGATGGTAACAAGTAGTTATCCTGCGTAATAAAATGTGCTTCTCATCTGTTGGCTGCTGCCTACATCAAGAGCCCTTCTCCTGGAAGGAGAACCTTTTCCTCTGTGTCTGCAATGGCTTAAATGTGACAAAGTCCAGAGCAAGGCAGTATTAAGGTCATTCGTTTTGTTTGATTTTAATTCCAGTAAGGTAGTTTTAATATTCTTTTCAAAGACTTGAGTTGTCCCAAAAAAATCACTTCTAATCATCTTTTACTGCCCTTTCTCCAGCTTCCAGGAGCTCATGTCTTAGCATAACTCCTTTTCATATTTCTTTCTCTTTCCTCCTTGCTTTATTAAAACATCAATCTGGGGAGCCATTTTATCTCTAAGGCGATTTTTTAACTTCCAAATTTAACATGAGATGTACAGAAAACTTTTTTTCAGCTGACGCTGGCAAATGGCCAAACATATTTTTTCAATACTTTCTGATATATACTTGCTATTCTGAAGAGCAAGATTTTTCAGTAGTCAGAAGGATGTGGGATGCTATTAAATTAAATCCAAACTTTTGCACATCTTAAAGTACAGCAGTAACTAAGCATTCCTTGTGTTTTAAAATTTTGTTATTTAAATGCTGCTCTAAAAGATGGAACAAAATAGAAATCATCAGGAATCTCAGCTGGATGTCATAGAAGATCTGTAAGAAGGGATTACTTGAAAAATCCATAGCTTTAAGTAGCGAGGAAAAAAAGGGGAATTTCTAAACAACTCATAAGATCTCTGATAAAGAATAAATACCACTTCTGTCTACTTACAATATATTTAATATGTTTCATACTTGTGCAAAAATTACATCTATGCTTTGTTAAAGGGAGACTTAAAGGACACTTAAGTCCTTCCTTCCTTGCTAAATAGGAACTGATTCTTCGAACACACATGCTCAAGACTTACTGGATTATTTGCAGGAGTCAATAAAGCTTCACAGAATTAATATAGGAAAAGGATCCAAGGCCATATTTTAAAATCTAAACTTACTAGGACTCCAACTTATCACTCAACAGGATTACTTCCAGGATAAAGTGTTTAAAACCAACTCCAAAATGCAAAGAAAGTATCTATCTCCACTCCTGCTTTGAAGAATTCTGTAGGACTCTTACAAATTAAATTACAAATTTTACAAATGTTTATACAGTTATAAAATCCCACCTTAATCACACAACAGTGTAGTCAATAAAACTTCTAATGTCATGAATGAATTTTGCACCTGTTGACTCAGTTATATAGCATTTACCTAAACCTTTCCATAAATTAAATATTTCTCAAGTTCTCTGATGCAGTGAACTTCCAAAGTGTTTGTTCAGTCACTTCATATCAAGTTTATAAATCAAGCTACAGTAAGATATCCATAGTTGTTGCTTATTACAGTCATTTCAGCTCATATTTGATCAGGCTCTAAGAAAATAAAGGTGGTCGCATGATCATAAAATAAAATTCCCAATATTGGAAATGAGGTAAAAATGATGTGGAAGTATTTTTACCTCTGTATAAAAAAAAGTTTGCTAATTTAAAAAGCAAAAAGCCATTACATTACCCTAAAGGTGCTGCTCTGACCTAATACAATGAAAGGCCTTTCCTTACCAAATGAGTAGCATCACTGTAAACATTCTCTTCAATGGACAAAATGGTGCTGCTCTCTCACCTCTTTTTCTCCATCTTCGTCTGTCACCTTGACAAAGTTCCCTGATGGTGCTATTTTTTTTTTAACCTGATGGTTGATTAAACGCTTCCATCATCAGTGGTAATGCTGACAAAAATCGTATTATTGCATTTGTTAATTTTTTAAGAGTGATATTGTGAGCACCACAATGACCACAGATGGAACAGCTGTCACTTTGTGCACATGTATCTGGCCCTCCCTAGGGCTCTTTATCCGATTAAATTAGAAAGGTCTCCTTTTAATGATGCACCATGGGTATATACCTGCCAGGTAAAAGAGTGAACTGCATTAAGGTGGAAATGTAACAGACAGCAGATGCCTCTTTTATTATCAAGTAAAACGTTCATTAAAACTACAATGCCTAAAGTTTCTGTTTTGCTAGAATTAGTCAGAAGTAACTCCACAGAAAGCAGTGAAGTTGCAATTGATGTAATTACAGAATAAACTTGGCTCAGAACTTTCTCTTCTAAGGTACAATAAGCTGTTGAAAGTAGCTGGGCTTTTCCACAGGGAAGTAAATACAAAGAGAACAAACGCTTGAGAAAAAATAATAGTCCCTTATGACTAGGAAAACACCTACCTTTCCAGTGGCATTCTCACCTCCAAAAGAGGTGTCCAGGGCTATTCGGAGCTAAAAGATGGGACCAATCTATTTCCAGCTGAATTCAGATATTTTCAATCTGTTTATTCACTTGAAACTATTAAGAATATCTTCTGCTTGACCCCAAACAGCATACATTTTGGGAAGAGTACAGTTTTGGAAAGGCAAGCTATTAAAAATAATAATAATAATAATCAGATTGTAAGAGAAAGCTGATAATGGGCATAAAGGAAAGAAGAAAGGAAGAAAGCAAGCTTAGATTTTTACAAAGGTTATCCAATAAACAGTCATTTGAGGCTGAATATCGTAGTCTTTTTACCAAGCTCTGTTCTTTTCCCTCAAACTCTGTGGGCTGCAAACCTCTCTTCATGTGTACCTGTGAGGAGCTCGGTGTTTTTCACTGGTTGACAAAAATATAAATATTCAGCCCCAAATACATTTAGCCTAGCTCTTCTGTATTTCAAACAAAAACTCCAATATAGTATTTTTCTAAGTTTATTCCTTGGATGGTTTGTTATAAAGCATCAGGCATCACCTTTTTTTTTTTTTTTTCTTTTTCTTTTTCTTTTTTTCCCTGTTTTTTGTTATTATTCTAGAGAAGAATTAGACATTGGACAATGGTTATTACCAGAATTCTATAAGACATACATCTCTCATCTTCCTAAAACTTTCCAAGATCTCTGTTTAGAAATGTGTATTTCTCTGGTTCTTAATTGTCTAAAGACTGACACTGCTGACAGTGCCTCATGCTCGTACATATCAGAATCAATCCCCAGGACTGCGGGAGAGGGTTGTAAACCTGGAGCCAGCAAAGTGAACACACTGTTTTGCATTTGCATGCTAGGAACTTCTGTCCATGTACATTTCACCATTTAAACATAAGCTTCTATAAAACATGGGGAAACTCCTTCCAAGAGAATAACAGGGATGGATATATAACACTCCTAGGAAAGGCTCTGCAAACGCATGCCATGCGGTCTGAGCAAGCATAAGCAAATGTGGAAATATACGCTTCTTTGAAGGCAGAGAGATTATATCAGCAGCGGGCAGGCCGGGAACACTACATGCGACCGAGATTTGAGGAGATGATTACTGGGACCGTCACGAGCACCTCTCTAAACTTTTCTTCAGCGAATTCCAAAACGCTTTGGGAAACGCAGGGAACCACCCAGCACTCCCGAGAAAGCCGGCAGCACAGCTGTAGCGTTTCGCCGCTATCCGAGCCCTGCTGTCCCCCCGGGGTGCCTTTCTCGAGACCCCCATACCATCCCCGGGAGGCCCACCCGGGGGGCACCCAGAGCAAGGCAGGGCCGAGGGCGGGCGGCGGAGCCCAGCGCCGAGGGAGCCGGGGGCGGCGGAACGCCGGGTCCCGCCCGGCTCCTACCTGGTAGGCGTCGGGGATGTTGACCGTCTCTCCGTGCTCCGCCACGTAGCCGATGATGCCCTTGCCCCAGGGCACCTGCACCTCGCTGCTATTTTCGGTGGAGCCGCAGGGCAGCAGCGGGGTGCCGGCATGTACGTCGAAGAACTTGGAGACCAGGCTCTTCTTGCCGGCGGCCGCCCCCTCCACCAGGAAGAGCGAGCCCCGGTCGGCGTCCACCATGAGGCAGACGAAGATGAGGATCTTGTAGCTGAGGCTGGTGAGGTCCAGGTCGTTGGAGATGTCCTTGACCAGCTCCAGAAAGAACTGCCGTTCGTTATGCTCCTTGAGGTAGCGCTTGTAGTCCAGGGCCGGGGGCGGGTATTGGGGCAGGCTGACGCGGGACTCCAGCAGGGCGCTGAGGATGTGCGCGGTGGTGGGGGGCAAGGAGCTGGCTTTCCGCAGCAGTGCCCGGCGCCGCACGCTGCTCAGCGGCTCCTGCGCCCGGGCGTGCACGTGCTCGTCGTAGGTGAGGTTGACGTGGATGGCCTTGGAGCGGGCGAAGCTCTTCCGCAGCTCTTTCTGGGAAGCCCTCCGCTGCAGCCCCCCGGCTCCGGGCCCGCCCGAGCCGCCCCAGCCGCCGCCGACCCGCCGCTCCTCCGACGGTCCGCCGGCGGGCGCCTTGGGAAGCGAGTTTCTCCTCTTCAGCCACCTCTCCACCAGTTCGGGGTGCCTGTCCAGGAAACTTTCCACCGCCGCCACGTCGAGGCCGCCGTCGGCCGCCATGGTACGGGGAGCGGGGGCGTTTCAGGCCATGCCCCGACGGGAGCCGATGCTGTCCCGCGGCTGGGCCGGACCGGCTGTCTTCGTCCCCCCGCTGTTCCCGCGCCCTCCTTCTCCTGCCACCTTTTATTATTACTGTCCGCCTTATTCCAGGTATTCTTTCCGCTGCCCGCCTCCTTCTCCTCCTCTGTTCCTCGGTCCCGGGCTGCCGCCGCGCCTCTGGAGATGCTCGGGCAAACCCCTCCTGCCCGGCTCTGTCAGCGCTGGCGGCGGCGGCTGCGTAACCCAGGCGGCGGCCCACTGAGCGAGGGGGGAGGCGGGGAGGGAGGGGAGGGCGGCGGCAGGACGCGTGAGCCGCGCGGGGGGGGCGGCGGGAGGAGGCAGCGCCGGAGAGCCCGGTTGCGGGGGAGAGGGGCGGGAAGGGGGCGTGCGGGGCCGAGAGGGCCCGGGGCGAGGGGAACGCGCGCAGCGCTAGGGTATTTTGGGGCGAGGAGGGGTCCTTTTGTCTGCCACGCGTGTGCGGGGAAGAGGCATCCCAGCGCTGCGGGGAGAGGTAGCGCGAGTGTTGCTGTCGGAGCGGGTTAATTGATAGCATCATCTGCCAGGCTCGAACAGGACGAACGGAACGAAAGGAGCTCGTTCAGACCTAGTGAATTCTTGGGTCCTCGAGTGGAGGTGCCTGCATGTCCCGGTGCCCCGCTGGTCCGGCGCCGAGTCCGGGGACCGCCACGGGGCCGCCGCCGCCCGGAGCTCCCAGCGGGGATATCGCCATCCGCCGGGGACGGGCCCCCGGCCAGCGCCGCATCCACCGAGGCAGGCGGTGCGGGGTTATTCCCGTGCGCACGTGGAGCACGTTTCAGTGTTCCACCGATGCCTACGCAAAAGCGATTGAAAAAAAAAAAAACACGGAGTCATGGAGCCTAACACGTGAAAAATGTCTTTCATGCGCTAGGTAAAGACTGAATGAAGGCGGCTTCAGAAATTCATGAATGGGAGTTGGGCTGGCTGGGAAAAGACGGGCTAATCCGTGATCGGAGGAGATTCCCCGCCGCCGGACTCCCCGCTCCTACGGCGGTCCGTGCGGCGCGCAGCCCGGATACCCTTCAGAGCGGGGCTCGCGGGGACACTCGGGGCTCTCCGCCGCAGCCGCGCGTAGCGAGAGGTCGGGCGAGTGCTGCGGGCACCGCGGCCCGGAGACAGCTCGGGGAGCGGCAGACAAAGGAGCTCGCCGCTCGCCTCACTGCGGCTCCGAGCCGCCGGGGCTCTGCGCCCCTCGGCGGGCCCCGCTTCGCCGCGGCTCACCCCCCTACTCTCCCCCCCGCGCGGGACGGCTGCGGCAGGAGGCCGGCGCTCCATTGAGAAACCGCCGGTGGCTCCGCTTCTCAATGGGGCGGAAAGGGGCGCGCAGGCGCGGGCTGCCGGGGCGGGGAAGGGGAGCGGAGCCGCGCCCCGGCCGCCCAGGGGTACCCGGCTGCGGAGTCGCGGGGAGCGGGCGGCGGGGCCGCGGGGTGACGGGCTGCAAAGGGGCTTCTCCGAGCTGCCTGCGCCTCGGCCCGCCGCTGGAACGCTGTCAGGGCTGAGGAACCGGGATCGCTGCCCCTCAGCCTCTGTTACAGCACGGAAAGAGGACACCGTCGAGATGCCGGCCTCGCCGCCCGCGGCCGCTGTGTAAGCATCACCCTCGGGAGGCACCTGCTCGCCCGCAGCCGCCAGTTCCCGCCTGGCCTTTCCGCTGGCATTTACTTTTTGTAGCGCTGGTACAAACATGTCGTCTGCGCAAAGAAACAGCTTAAGCTGCTGAGCGCCTGGCAGGCAGGCACACACCTCGATCTCTCAGCAGATGCCCTTTAGGCATCTCCATACGGTTGAAATAATTGTATGTACACAGTTTTTTTTGCCATCTCAGTGTAGTAGCGCTCATACCAGCGCTTTACTACAAAATGGGTACTGTGTGGCACTTCTGTGTGTAGGCAGTGTAGTGTTTCTATAAGTTCAGGCAAAAAGCTTTTCCCGTATCTCTTCATGGAGGCTATTCTGTGAGTTGTTGCAGTAAAGCCCTCCTTAGAAGCTTGACCTGTTGTTTCAGCAGATGTTAGGAGAGAATTTGGGTTTGCCTGCAGCCTGGTGCATGTCAGAGGATGCCTCCGTTTGCAGCGTGAGTACACTGAGCACACCGTACTCTGGGCTCCAGCTTCAAGTGTGGGCCTAAGATAGATAAACTACGCTTTTCTTGAGAGAGACAAAAAGTCACATGGATTTTGTCAGCTCCACGGTTTTGTTATGTGCTGTCATAGTTCTAAAGGTATGCTGCCACTGCATCTCATGTATGGTCAACTGATTGTTGGTATGGATTTATGATGCCAACTCTGACAGCATGGCAGCTTTGTAGCCTGGTCTCCTAAGGCACAAAGCATACAGATGCATTAACAGGACAACAAGCAGAAGCATCAGTGCATTTGTCAGGCAGTCTGTTTCTCTATTGAGAAAAGTAGGGGCATAGCACCCTTCAAATGCAGTTGAGGAAAGTACCTGAGGAAACTTTGTCATTCAGGCAGACACTTTACTTTAATTGTCTGTAAACAGTCAACAGAGCAAGTCCTAAATATTAAACTTGAAACTGGAATCTTAGAGCTACAGGACACAAGGAAAGTAAAGCTGGTACTCATTCACTTGTGTCATAGAATGATTTATCTCACTTTCACTTACTGCCTTTGCTGAATACGAACTCACCGCACTGGAGCTCTTTAAGACAATTAATTGAAACCCCTAGTTGGCAAGCACTGGAACAGTGCTGAACATGAAAACCTGAACATGAGCCAGCAGTGCGCTCTGGCAGCTCGAAAGGCAAATGGGATCCTGGGCTCCATCAGGAGAGGGGTGGTCAGCAGGGACAGGGAGGTGATCGTCCCTCTCTACTCGGCTCTTGTGAGGCCCCATCTGGAGTACTGTGTCCAGGTGTGGAGCCCTCAGTACAAGAAAGACATTGAGATTTTGGAAAGGGTCCAGAGGAGGGCGACTAAGATGATCAGGGGGCTGGAGCACCTCCCCTATGAGGACAGGCTGAGGGAGTTGGGCTTGTTCAGCCTGGAGAAGAGAAGGCTGCGGGGTGACCTCATTGCAGCCTATCAATACCTGAAGGGAACCTACACCCACGAGGGGAGTAAACTCTTCAAAAGGGCTGACAACAGCAGGACTTGGGGAAATGGATCGAAGTTGAAGGAGGGAAGATTTAGGTTGGATGTTAGGGGTAAGTTCTATACAAGGAGAGTGGTTAGGCCCTGGAACGGGCTGCCCAGGGAGGTTGTGGATGCCCCGTCCTTGGATGTGTTTAAGGCCAGGTTGGACGGGGTCCTGGGCAACCTGATCTGAATGTGTGTGTTTGGTGGCCCTGCTAGGCAGGGGGGTTGGAACTACATGATCCTTGAGGTCCCTTCCAACCCGGGTGATTCTGTGATTCTGTGAACAGTACTGATGAGTACCTGGGCACAGACATGGCAGCAAATTAGTTTTGTACTAATGCTGCTTTTTGTGATGACATAAGGAAACCTTACTGGAGTGTGATACATTTTAATCATTTTTAAATCATTTGTGTAAACAGATAATTCAATTGTAAATCTTGTTTCAAGTGGTAAAGGAGAACTCATGAGGTTTTAGGAGGAGTGTAATCACCTTCAGCAACAAGTTAGTGAAAATATTATTACTAATCTCAGTTGCTAGAGTTAGTCAGCACTCAATCATTCTACGCGTTAGAGGAAACCTCAATATATTGGCATTGAGTGGAGAAAAAATCCACAACTCTGAAAGACAACTGGTAGATTATGCCGTTTTAGTACATGAAGGAGCTCTGACAATACAGTGAGCAAAAAGAAAACCTTCTCCAAAAGAGAAACTTTATTTGGTGGTCCAATCTAATATAGAGACCTTCCTGTTTGCTTAGCTATAACCAAATAACAAGTTTCAGTGGGTCTTTGAATAACTTGTTGCAGAATTGGGCTCTCTGCTTAGGGAAAGGAACAATATGTTCTGCAGTGTACTCCATAAAGATGTATGAAATACATGATTCAGTGTAAGTAATGTTCACCTCTTGAAGTTGTTTAAGAGGATGCAGCACCCTGAACCATACTTTTACTTGATTTTAAAGCCCTAATAAACAAATATCAAAACACTAAAACATGACACAGCAGCTCATCAAAATTGAACAGGTTTTTTCATTGTCATTACAGCTGCAGCAGCAATGGTTCACAAAGAAGTTGCTTTTTTCAAGTATGCAATAACATCAGCTCTTTCATTCTGCTTTTTAAGTCCAGCAAAAATCATTTTTATACCAGGAATGTATTTCTTAGGTTTTTCCAAATACTCCAGTGTACTCTCACTCCAGGTAACTCCAAAAAAAAAAAAAAAAAACAAAAAAAAAACCAAAACAAACCCCAAATCAAAACAAAACACCCAACAGAAGCAGCAAAATGTAAGGCTAATCTAACATGGTACATTTCTGGCAATTACCAAGAGTCTCAAGGTGTGGTGGTGCTCCTGAGCGTAATGTACCCACAGTCCAAGGGGAATTTGAACACAAGTGACACACAATATAGGATGCAGAAAATGCAAATCATCTTTGAGTCACTTCAGTAATTCAAACATAAATCCCTTTTTTCCCCCCCATCATTGATAGTTGCAGTTCATCATTCATAGTTGCAGCTATTTGTGCCAGTTCACATAAACTACACAGTGCTTTTGAACTATGTAAATATCTTTGTAATTTCAGTATTTGGAAGATCCAACTGCAAATGGCTGTATACAGATTGACACTAAATTAATGAAAGCTGTGGACTGCAAAAGGACCTGGATTATTGAAAGAGATTTGAAAAAGTATTATTGTTTCCTTTCAACCCTGCTGAATTCTGCCTATCAGCAGACACCTAATGTTGTACAGAAGCCTACTGAAGTACCTAATGATAAGGATACGTTCACACTCATGTACAATGGACTCAGATATCATTTTGTTGGTTTTCTTTTAAAGTTTTGTACTAACATTCATATTATTTGTTCACTAAATTTTCAGTGAGGTAATACATGTTGAAATACATGATATTTTATATGAGGGAAGTCCCACCACAAAGCAAATGTCAAAAAACACATCCCAGAAACCAGCAGAAAATTAAAAAAAAACAAAACAAATTCTAAAACACCTAGTAACCAGAAAAAAAATCCTACAGAACTGTAATTGTAATTAATAACTTCATTTGAATATAGTTTAGATTAAAATAATTCATTAAAAATGAACGCCTGAAATAGAATACAGAGTTACTTTCCATTTGTAGGAGCAAAACAAGTGCAGCGCACCACGATGCCAGCAGAGGGCAGTGATGAGCAAACAAAATCCAGAAGCGCCCTTAACAGAAATGATAATTTGCCTATTGATACTGCACAGTTTTGGGAAAGCTGCATGCGTTTTGACCTGGCATGATAAATACTGGTACAATTTCTTTTTAATTTATAAGCTGAGTGACTTTGTTTCTGAAGCTGTAGTTCAGATTCATTTCACATTTACGCAAAGCAGACAGCTATGAGTTAACTCACTGTGAATAAGCCTCAATGTTGTACCTCTAAAGAAAATGTTCTTTTTTTTTTTTTTAATTTTCCAAAATATGTTCCAAGCTGCACTGCTTGTCACCTCATATCACGTTAGCTTTACCTTTCTTCTTTTTTTGTTTATGAGTAGGTAAAGTTTGTCCTGTTCTGTGGCCAAATAAACCCCAAAGATTTGGTCCTCTCTTGTATTTTCCACCTTTTCCAACTATATGGCACTGAGAGCATTTCTGAATAAAGATCTTCCTGCCTTTTTCAACACCACCCACTTAGATCTATGTAAAAATAATAATAAAAATAAGATGACATTATAGAGAAGTAGTTTGCTGTTACTGGCAACATTTATTATCATCTACAGTTTTTAGAAAATATTTGTCTTGCACAGTAATAAAAGTAACGTCTCAAACTAAAGAAATCTTGACCTGAACTTGTTAAGATGCACAATTTCTTATGTGATCAGGTTGTTGATAGTCGTATCTGTGGAAGTCAAGGTGGTTTTGAGCTATCTAATCGCTCTTACAGCATTATTTCCATAGTGAGAATAAGAGTTACTTGAAGTTATTTAAGAGTTATTTAGAACTTCTCCAGATTTCCCTGAGGACCACGGTGCAACTTTGATGTCTCTGTACTGTAAATTTTAACTCCTATGACACATCCAAAATGTCCCTCACTCCAGTTCCTTACTCTAATCTATGCTGTTAAATGTTTTGAGAGCAGGAAGGAAGCTGCCACCACAGTAGAGATGTGATGGTTTTTCCTAACCAGAAATGAAACTTTTAAGAGTACTCCACCCTGATCTCACAGAAGCAAGGTGTATAATCAAAGAATATTAGGTTGTTACAATCGCAAAATAAACAAGAGAGTTAGACAAAGTAGACTATAACAACAAAAGAGAATAAATAGAAGGCTTACCCCACCCTGGGCTCACTCACAAAACACCAGCAGAGGCGATCTCCAGAAGAGATCCTTCCCCACTGGCAGCCAGCTCTTAAATAGGTCTAGGAGAGGTGCAGCCTGGCTCCACCCCTTCCGGCAGCACAGCTGAATTGCCTTCACCTGTGCTCCTCTGGCTGACTCATGGCTCCCCTCAGGTGGTCAGTCAGAGGTTCAGGCCGGGACTCAGCAGTTCCCATACACAAAGCTACAGAGAAATACAAATCTCAATATTGTCTAAATCAACAAACACATGAAAATAGCCATAAAAATATCTGATGAATAATTGTAATGTTAACTGATTAAATATTATCATCTATCATAATTCATATAGAAGGACTTTTCAGAAATCAGCAAATGTCCTCTAATCTAACATCAAAATAGCTTTTCCAGTTCAGGAAAATGAAAAGTTGTGATTACTTCCCCTTTACTTAGGGATATGTATGGACCTTGTTTCATTAAGATTTATTAAGACTGTGCATTTATTTTATAACAGTGTAAACATAAGCATGTCTCGAGTTAAACCATATAAAAAATACTCTTGAGATTCAAATATGGCAATATCCTGAAAAGTGTATATTAGGTTGGAAAATGTTGTAATAAGAAATGCAGAACACGTTGAAGACTGTTTTTACAAACGTTATTGTAAATGTGCTTCAGTAAATAATAACTACATATTCATGCACTACATGTTCAAAATCAGAGAGTTGGACAAGAAAAGATGATAAAGAACAAAACCAAACCAATCCAAACTAAAAAACAACAAAAACCAACAATATCCACATCACAATTCTAATGTGTTATTTTGCAAAAACTCCTGAGACACTCCAGACACTTTAAGAGTGTCTTTACCATGGACGCTTTTGTACGCCAGTGCGAAATGTATCACCCTTTCAAAAAAATCCACATAGATTAATTTAAAAGAATAGCTTAATTGTTAAAGTAATACCAGAAGGGTCTGAAAAATACAAGGTCTAATCAGTGTAGATATATAATTGCATTAATAGGGCACATAAGAATGCAATCAATAAAACTTCTAAATAATGCAATTAGAAGCAAGATATCTGAAGTCTCAAAAGCAATAATGGAACAATGTTTTTCTGTATTCAAGATAACTTAGAATTGTATTGATGATGGCATGCCAACTGGGAAATATTCAAGTACAGCATTCAAAGATGCAGAATCAATGTTATCAAATTACACTGACATAAGCTCATTTAAGTATGGAAAAAAAAAGGGAGTTGTGGATTTAACCAAGAAGACAGTTGTGTTTCCTGGTGTTCTGTTTGGTGTATAGAACTATATTAGTTTACTTTTCACCATTCGGTTCTACTTTTATTTATTTGTTTATTTATTTATATACAGTCTGGAGAGCATCTTTAAAAAGCCTTCAACTACCACTACAGCATTGCCATTTATCTTAGCAAAAGTTAGCCTTTCAAAAAATTCTCTTCCAAGGTAATGTTCTTTCCCTGTAACAGTACTGGGCAGGAGCTCTGAGTTCTTCTCCGTCTGTGCACATACCCAGCATTGCCCCAGCTCAAGCGCAATGTCTTGCACTTGGCATTGTGGAACCTCATTAAGTTCTTGAGTGCACATTTTTCAAGCCTGTCCAGGTCCGTCTGGATGGTGTCTCTCTACTGTGTCTTCTATTGTGTCAGTGGCACCACTCAGCTTGCTGGCATCTGCAAACTCGCTGAGGCTGCACTTAATCCCATCATCTATGTCAGTGATAAATGTGTTAAGGAGTACTGGTCCCAGAACCGAGCCCTGTGGGATGCCACTCATCACCAGCCTCCATTTGGACATAAAACGGTGGAGCACAACCCTCAGGCTGCAACCACCCAACCAATTCTTTATCCACCAAACAGCCTTCAAATTCACGTCTCTCTCGTTTAGAGATGGGGATGTGATGTGGGAGCACGTCAAAGGGCTCGCACAAGCCCAAGTAGATGACATCAGCTGCCCTTCCTTTGTCCATTGGTTTTCTTCACCCATTTGTAAAACAACTGAAGTTTAATTGCTAACACAGCTGCTGGGCAGGTACCAAACATCTAGAAACACTGAAGTGTTTTTTTTCCTCCTACACGTAATCTGCAGAGTTGATTAGCAGAAAAAGCTAGTCTGAATAAAAAATACCAAACAATTAAAAAAAAAACAAAACCAACAACAACAACAAAAAAAAAACCCACAAAAACAAGCAAAAAAACAAAAACCAGAAAACCGAAAACAAACCAAAAAAGAAACAACACCCCAAGGACACCCCAAAACAAAAGTTGTTCTCAGGCTGTGTTCCTTCAAGAGACCCATTTTTAACGTTAGCCTTTTAGCTGGGCGATCAAGCAATGACAGCATTCTTATGCAGAGAAGCTAACCGAGCCTTAGCTAAGACTTTCTCAGAGGAAGCCATCGCACCGAGCGCCTCAGCTCGTGGCACAAGCGAGGCAAAACGGAACCCGACCACCGTCTGCACCTCATCCGACTCCGCCTGGGTCCCACCTCGCACCGCCCTCGGCCCTGTCATCGGGGCAGGTGTCACGAAGAGGCGTCCAATCCCGAAGAGGGGATCTCCGCGCTTTCTCTTCTGATTGGCGCGTGGCAGATCCGAGGGGCGGGACTAAGCACTACGCCCTCCTTTCGGGGTGGGGGGGGTTTGCAAGAGGTGGCGGGTTCTACGCGCCGTCCCAGCGGCCCGTGCGGGGACGTGGCGCGGCGTCGGGGTGGGGTGCGGCCATGTTGTCTCCCCGGCGGAAGGAGCCGGGTGGTAGCTCTTCGCCCGTCCCGGAGCAGAGCCAGCGCTCGTTTACGGCCCGCGAGCCGAGCGGTGGCTCCACCATGGAGGAGAGCGGCGGATTCCGGCTGTCGGCCGAGTGCCTGGACGAGCCTCCCAACAGCCGCGTTTTTGTGGTGCTGGGCAAGGACGCTGGCGAGGCGCTGATTCGGGAGCGCTTCGCGCCGTTCGGGGACATCCAGAACATCTGGCTGCTGCGCGACAAGCGCACCAATGAGTCCCGAGGCATCGCCTTCATCAAGTTCGCCCGCAGCTCGCAGGCCTGCCGGGCCATGGAGGAGATGCACGGCCGCAGCCTGGCCCCCGACACCAAGCCCATCAAGGTACGGCCGGGTCGGGCCGGAGCCTTAGGGCGGCCCTCTCAGCCCGCATCCATCCCGGCACGGCGGGAGGGCCGCAGCTCGCGAGGCCCTGCGGGCTGCCCGGGTGCTGCCTTCGGCCTCATGGGTCATGAGAGCTGCTGCGGGCTTGGGCGAAATGCAATGCCTGAAAACTATCCTGTTTATTTTTTATCGCTGTCTTAAAACGTTTAATTCCTGTAAAATATTTAAAGGGAGTGCATTTTAGGTGCTTTAAACGGGATTGGCACGGATAAATAACAAATAAAGCTGTCTTTGCAAGAGTGCTTTATGTGGGTCTTGTATCTCGTGCACAAGCTGTTTGCGTTTTTAAATCTATAGCACGTTATGGTAGGTTTCAGCCTCTTGAATTGTTTTTGCATTCCTCAGATAATGATAAAATTTGAACGACTTTGAACACTGAATATTTCATGTACTTTACTGTGGGGGAAGGATAAGCACTTAGCTAAGTCTTTTGTGAGGACCTTGCTGTTAGAAGTCAGGAAATCTGAGCTGTGCGCCTTATTTTCCTGCACAACCATTACAAAACACAATTCCAGTGTTCTGTGAAACCACTTGCTACTTTTACACACAGAGCTTGTTTTGGAGGTTGTGACTGTTTTAGGGTTTTTTTTTTTTTTTTTTTTTTCTTGCCTGGATATCTTCTGGGATAACTTCTTGGGTGCGGCTTTTAGGTAAAGCTTGTTTTGAAAACTAAGATATTCTATGCTAAAGGTCTGAGAAGCTATGCTTAAGTGAGTGCTATTTGCAGACTGTGTTCTAGCTGAGCTGGAAACTGGAGCTGCCAATTTCCCCCTGCAACTCATTTGTTTCAGTTTGTGCACTCTTTTCATTCTTGTGAAGACTGCTATACCAGGGCTAACCAGTTGCAATAAAGCATTTGCCTTCTGTGGCACTGGCAGTGTTACTGGACCAGGTTTTAATATTCCTTGCCAGCTGCGTTATCCCTGATGGAAACTTGTGCTACCCTCTGTCTTGCTTGAGAAGCTGTTTTGAGTGTCCTGTACTTACAGGTCTTCTGTTGCAGGTGCATGTGTGATCAGAGATGTTTTTTTTCTTACTAGGAAATCTGTATAACGTGAGCGAAAAATGCAAAGATTTGCTTAAAAACTGACTTGAGATGTGGCTAGGACTCTCTTTCCAGTAATTAATGTTTATGTAATTTTTGTTAGGTATTTATTGCACAGTCAAGAGCTTCTGGAAGCCACCGAGATGTTGAAGATGAGGAGCTTACACGAATCTTTGTTATGATACCAAAGACCTATACAGAGGAAGACCTGCGAGAGAAGTTTAAGGTGCCGATTCACTGTTTTTTTTCTTAATTTTTCAGAGGAGCTTAAATCGTGGAACTTTAATGCATTTTCAAATATTGTGAATTAATACATTTCTTAATTGTTCTAGATGTATGGAGACATTGAGTATTGCAGCATTATTAAAAACAAGACTACTGGAGAAAGCAAAGGTTTGGGCTATGTGCGGTACTTAAAACCATCGCAAGCTGCCCGAGCAATTGAGGAATGTGATCGAAGTAAGAATCTAATTGAACTTGTTAAAACCTTTCACAATAAATGTGTATCATCATTAATACACCTTTAATTTTTACATTTGCTTGCAGGTAAATTATTTATGGCATGTAAACACATCTTGAGACAAAAGTTCTGTTGCAAATAAAAATAGTATTACTAACATTCACCTAATAATGTTCTTGCATCACTAGCCCCTGGAAGGAAGATCAGTGAAAAGAGTGTAGGAATTGATAGTTTGTCTTAAATTGGGTATTCTCATTTGGATTTCATACCCAGGGCAACCTCATTTCTAAATAAATAAATAAATAAGAATGTTTTTAATCAAACGTATATATCAAATATAATCCATAAATAATAAATTTGTTGTGAATAAATGTAGCCTAAAATTGTTCTTAGGAAATTTGTTTTTTCCTTCTTTTCCCCCACCCTCCATTTAATATCAGGATTAATGTATTGCAGAAACTAAGACTTTGCCCACTTTACGATCAATCACTTATGCTCTGGTACCAAACAATTGTTAAGGAATTGGAATAAATCCAGTAGAGGGCTGCTAAAGTGTGTGACCTGTGAGGAGAGGGCTCAGGGACTGGGCCTGCTCAGCCAGTAGAGAGGCTTTTGGAGAAACTTATTAGCACTTTACCAGTCCAACCTCCTTCACTTACTAAATATTAAACACTTCAGCATGTAGCTTTAGGTTTTTTGTTGTTTTTTTTTTTTTTCTTTTTGCTGTGTGGGAGTTTTTTGGGGTCGTTTTTGTTTTTTTAAGTAATATGCCTGGTGTATCATAAGAAGTTCTGCTATCCCTATGCAAGAATACTCACAAAAATGGGTGATATTTATTAGCAGTTCAATTTTATTTCCTTTATGATTTGAGTTTGGAGGATTGGAGATTCATAATCCTTGAGGTCCCTTCCAACCCTGTGATTCTGTGAAATGAAATGGATTAGATGGCCTAAGAGTTAATACCTGCACTATTGATAAACTGAATGTAGATCAGCCCAAAACATCTATGAGCAGCTGTTACAGTTCTGTGAAAGTTCATCTGATTGCCTTCGGAGCGTCTCCAAGTCCTGCCAAATATCACAGAATGGTTGAGGTTGGAGGGGACTTCTGGAGTTTGTCTTGTCTGGAAGCACGTCCAGATGGCTTTGAATCTCAATGAGGTTATTCACAAGGACGTGCCCCAGTTGTTTTAGATACTGATGCATGGTCTCCCAGGAGTTAAGTGCAAGTGAGCCTACTTACATGTTCCACATATGACACTTTCACTTCCACATCATTGATTATGCCAACTTGCAAGAGTTACGTGTTAAATGACAGTGTTTGGTGTTTTTTCTGAGTAAACTGTTGAATGAGATATCCAGAGAGTGCAGATATGCTCAGAGGTATTTAAAGTATGCTGAGATGTTGCAATATGTGTGATGGTTTCTTTCAGGCTATCGAGCCATTTTGGCTGAACCGAAAAACAAGTCACCTGAATCTTTTGAACATGAATATTATAGCAATAACGTGAGGCAAGAACCAAGGGGAAATGTATTTCCATTTTGTAAGTCACAGTTTTTTATACTGAAAATTATTTGTAATCGCAATTGAGGGCAGTTTGGAAGAAGGCAGTCTAAAGGAAGCTGAGTTCTACAGCTGGTAAATTGGATGTTTGAGTTAGAAATGAAGTGGACATTTCACTTCACTTGTTCTTATGGCATGCTTTGGTCTAGTTGCCTGATTATTTCAAGACCTGCATTCATGAAAAATGCTTATGACCTTTGGTGTATAACTCACTTAGATTGTTTCTGAAATTTGAATGAAAACTACATATGAATCGAAGGCATGCTTATTATAATGGATTTGATTGTTTATTTTTGTGTTGATTCTTGAGGTGCTCAGCCAGAGTTTTGTAGTTTTGAAAAAAATGAGACCAGGATTCAGGAGTCAGTCTCCAAACGTCTGTCAGTGGTATCACGGCTTCCTTTTATCCAAGAACAGCTGTTTGCCCTCTTTGATCTAGTCCCAGGACTGGAGTATTGTGATGTTCAGCGAGATCCTCATACTAATAATGGTAAGTAAAATTACAAAAATCTTTTTTCTTCTATGAAGAGCACATTTTTTTAATTGTGCCTCAATTCATTTGTATTGCTAAATACAGTGGTTAGAAGAAATAATTGGCTTTTTCTTGCGTCAGTGGTTAGTACTACCATCGCCTAAGACTGAAAATTCAATTTTGATTGAAGCCTAGTTTACAAAAAAAAACCAACTGTATTTAAGGCTAATAGAATCTCAGGAAGGGACATAATCAAATCCCTGAGAATCATTAATTTAGTCAAGTGAAGTTAATAGTTCTGAATGTAATGGAACGAAAAAAACCTGTAGATTAGACATCTATTTATAGGACATACAAACTAGATCATTTGAGTTCTCATCATGAAATTGTTTGGTGTGTGGGGGTGTGTAAAAAGCTGACATGAGTAAATGAGGTGAAATCATTCCAAAACAAAACTTCTTTTGTATTGGAAGAATTGTTTTAGTTTCAGTGTTCTTGTTTTGCTATAGATGAAAAAACAGGAAGGAGCCCTGCACAGTGTGAAATGGGAATAATTCAGTTCAGTGTAACTTTACAGTGCTGCTGTTGGAATAACTATATTTTAAGATTATCCCTCTACCTAAGAGTTAGGCAAGACGACACGTCTTATTTTGCTGTATTACCAGCTTTTCAAATTAATACAAACATAGCTGATCTGTCACTAGTTAATTTCATGGAAGTTTATTTCACAAATAATATGAATATTGCTAGTAAGGAATATACAATGTGGGAAAGAGACTTAGGAACTTTGTAGCATCCATGACTAACCTG